TCTTGCAAGTACTTAATGAAGAGTGTTTGTGAGGCATAAATGAAAGACAACAAGGTCTCATCTGCTAGATTTTATGGCTTAGAAGGTTTAACGCCATACTTTACTCTGACCGTACCACTGTCAGGTACCATGAAGTAAAAACTTAACACAGAAATGTAAGAAAAAGATCTGTGTAAATGGAAAGCTTATTTTGCATGTGATTTTATACACTACCTCACATTTCACTGACAATACACATTTATCAGATGCAGAGAAGCAGATCTACTGACACACATAATTCTTCACTGAGGCCAACTGAGGAATATTTCATGCAGAATGCCTTTCCTGTAAATAAGTGTTCAGAGAACTAAAAAAAAAATAAATTTCATACTCCGTTCCTCAGTCTCTAAGAGGAGAGAGAAATTCCCCATCTGTTCTACCTGACATCTCTATCAGCACTCCTGTGTGCCCGGGGAGGTTTCAGACCTGCAGCCCCCAGCCAGAGCGGCGCGAACACGGCATGAACGAATGCTGGAGAGTTAAAGATCAGCTCTTTGGCTGCCAAATCTGAATAGCTCTTTTCTGCACCACTGAAAAGCAATGAAGATGCTTCAATGAACACTCTAGGTTGTTTAGGTAGATGAATAGTTGAAGTTGCTTTTTGGCATGTCCTCTGTATGCAAGCTGGCACTGTCTCACGAATCTGAAAGGCCCACATGGCTTATGTTGCACACTTCCCTCTTCACTCAGATAATATTAGTTCACTTTTCCTATCTAGAACATGTATTCTATTAACTTACCAAATTGATCCTAAGTGATGGTAGAGGCTTTGGATGAGAAAAAAGTCCTTTAATAAACACGTGTCCTTTCCTTTGCATTTGCATAAAAAAAACTTCCCAGGTCAAACTCGGCTTGGTACCAGGGATGCTGCAATGAACCATGTCCTGAGCAGAAGTGATAGGTGTGAACCCTCCAGAGGGGAGGGCTGCAAATGTAATTTCACTCTCACCTTCAGCACTTCTCTCACTAGAAGGAAAGAACCACCTGGACCTTGCCAGGTCCCCAAAGAGCCACCTGAGCTTGAACAGAGGAAACTGGGAGTTTACCTGCTGGTAGAGTTTGGCTTCCAGTACACTGCATGAAAATATTAACGAGGGAATTTTCAGGCGATCCAAGACCTTGTGGCTTTGCCTTACAAAAGCATTAACCATACCTCTGTTATACAGTACTTGGGATAACCAAAGCCAGAAGAAGATTAGGAGGAAATCAAGTTCCTTTTTCCTTTACACACTTTCTCGAGAATCCACTGCTTACAGCCAATATAGCAAATTGCACTACATACTACAGTATAAAATAGCATCTGCAACGTATTATCCATAGACCTGGGGATCTTGATCTTTTGCTCTTCGTCTTAGTTCATTAAAATGCCAGTTTTCTATATGTTTAAAACACTGCCAGCTTCGGGGATAATCCATAATGATGGGCTGTGTGTGGCACAGTCTGATGGATACTCGGCTTATATTTCAGGTCCTCTTTCTCCTGTCAGGCTGGCTCGCTCTCTCTGGTATATTGAAATCTTTTGATGAAATCCTCTTACTCCACTGCTTCCTTATTGATACTCCCCCTTTGTCTGGCAAAATTTTAATTACTACAGTACTGCATAACTCCATTCAGTGTTCCAATACTACCTCTGTGATAGGAGCAAATGCAATTCCTAAGATAGAATACCAGTATAATACTCTATCATTATGTCTTCTTTTATGGCTCCTAGCACCTTCTTTATGGCTACTAATATATTGTGGTCTCTGGCTTTCACTTACTGATTTCTGCTCTCCTTTACTCAATGTGTCCTTTTTCTCACCCAGAGAATTAACACCCCATCTCTGCTATCTCTCTTTCCTGCTCCCACTTATAATGTAGTGAAGTTCTCTTCTCCTTGTCACGTTATTCTTTCCCATCTCTCAAAGAGAGGAGTCTATATAATGCTTTACATCTTCTGCAACACAATTAGCAGCCAGGATGCAATGGTCTGTAGTCAGTGTTACTGTGTGTTGCTTAACGCACAGTGGGTGGACCCAATACAAAAGAGCAAGAATGCTGAAATCTTCAGAGGACTGAAGGGAAAACTGAATGATACAAGCTAGAATATACCCTCAGAGAGGAATGTACAGGAGCTTTTCATACCTATTGGTTCTGCTGGGTTGCTGACTCTAGATGCTGACCCCTATTGACATTAAGCAACCATTAAAAATCGACAAGGTTTTACTGCAGGACAGGTAGAATTTTACATACGAACTGTACACATACATTATTGTGTAAATTTAATTTAAAATTCCATTTGAGAATTAATAGTAATGGCTTCCCTTTCAGCTAGTCCTCTCTACTTTTGCTCTCACAGTAGCAGTATTGACTCACACCACCAAAAACCTTAAGGGGAACAGGTCAGTAGAAAATCTCTGCTCTGCACTAATACATTTCAACACCTGAGAAGCAAAAAAGCAGCAATTAAGCACAGCAAAATAAATAATTCAATAGTTAATTTGACCTGCCAGGTTGTAGAGTATTTTTTTTATATCCCTCCAGATTGTATTTTAGTTTAGAAGAAGTGTCCCTGGAGAGTAACGCTGTGAGAGCCTGTAAAATGCTATAGTGCTATATGAGGCAAAAGCTCACCTATAAATGGGGCGACTATTGTTTAAGGAAAAGGTTTTTTGTTGTCAGAGTGCTGCATATTTCATGAGAAAGTGATAAAGTCCTTTTCTGATTCTTTATGAATTAATCTGCCAACTGATTAGGCAGGTAAAGCAGCCATAGATTGGAAGACTAAAATTGCACTGCAGGTGCCTGACTTTTAGATGGAACACAAACCAAATAGAAAGCTAATGCTCTCTTCTGTAGTAAAGGAAGTGGCTTCTTTTTAATTGCCTCACAAATAATCTATAGACAGTCTTGAGTGGGAGCAATCCATGTGGCCTCTCAGTACATGAATATACATTGAAAAAGGGAGGGAGGAAGTATTTGTGCAAGATGAGACTTAGTAGGAGAATAGAACAGTAGTAGTTTAACACGATACTCCCGCATGACTACCAAGTTTATAGGGTTATTGAGTAGGGTGATCTTAACCTGGTGGGGAAAAATAAAGCAGTCCAGATGGAAGGACTTCCAGTCCCTCCTAGTAAAAGTAGATGAGATGAAAATTGAGACGACAGGCAACCGCATGTGCACAGGTGGACAGAATTAAAACTAGGAGGAAACAGGTAGAACAAGGTTTGAGATGGCTGTCAGCAGCCCAAAGATTGAGGGGAACAACAGGAGAAGCACCAGAAGGGAACACTCTGAGCCTCCACGTGTGGCTCTGAAACAAAGGGATACTTGATGCTTCTGGTGCATGTTTGCTATTCTCATTCATCCTCTGCGGCTACTCCAGAAGCCAAGTGGTCTCAAAGCAGCTGCACAGACTGGCTCAGCAGTATTCCTGAGACTTAAAGGCACTTGTTGAAAGGAGAGTACACCAGGGAGGATGCAGCAAATGCAAACACTTTTTATCTCAGATATACACACTCTCTCAATTACTGAGTAGTCTAGGTTCTTGCCATGCTGATTTCAACCCCTTCTGACGTTAATGCAAAGCAGTAAGGTTATAAAAATCCCAAACAAACCCAAAAGCAACCACAAAACCTTTTCTTGCTGACTGACACCGTTGCCTAGCTTCTCTGGGTAGAGTACATAAGTGAGATATCAACGTCCTTTATAGAAGTGGTAACAAAACTCTCTGCAAGGCTCAGAAAACTGTAGCTTGGGCAGGACAAGCACTGGAGACAGCACCCAGAGCTCTCCCCAGTCCTCAATTCTGTCCAGTAGCTGATATTACCCTACATGAACATTTGCAGTGATTTGAAAGATCTAGTTGCTTTAAAAGTAAATTAATAAATTAAACCAGCTCCTAAGCTTCAAGAAAATTATTACAATTGCTATTATAGTCTTCCATAGTCCTGGGGAAAAAATGGGGTGAGCATAAACCAGAGACTTATTTTATTGCATCTTCCGTTTTATAAAGATACTCAGGAACGTATAAAAATAAACACTCCACTCCTTTGCAATTTAGTTTCTCTCTGGTTGTAAGTTCAACTATTTTTAGTTTTCATTTGGGGATATCTCCCAGAACTGCAGAGCATAATCAGCTCCACCATAACCCTGCATCATCATTATCAAATACCAGACTATCTTTGGAAAAGACACGTTTTACATACTGAAGATCCCAACAGCCCTTTTTCAGCTGACTGTACGTATCAGTTCCTTCAGTCTTGACTTCCAGTAATGCTAAATATTGGCCACGAAGTGGTACTACAAAGATTTACACCAACTGCAGATCTGGCCCATTAAGCCCAAAACTGTGCTTGCCACAGTCAATACTGCTCCCTTGCAAAACAAAGGGGATGAGGAAAGGCGTGCTAATTTCAAGCTCCATTAAAAATGCAGGAAATAATTCAATGTTTCTCTCAAATGTAAATGCAAGAGAATTTATGAGGAAATCAGATTGGCATTCAAGTTTCTAAGAAGAAATGATAGAAAATGAGAAGGAGATTAAAAAAGAGTACTTGAAAGCATGCATCTGCCTCCAGCCCAGAGCCTCCTTAATGGTGCCTCCCCATTTGACTGCTTTGGAGGTTTCGTATTCATTGCGGTTTAAATTACTTCTGTCTCCACTGAGCTGTACTAGAGCAGGCACAACAGCTTTTTTATAGATCTTGCAGCCATTGCAGAAGATTGTCGGCAATGTTGCAATAATCAAGAATATTATTCAAGAGTAATTGCTAATGTGATAACACCAGCCTACAGCCGTCTCATCCCTACAGTTTTTCAGCTTCCCTGCTGCTGAGCACATCTCTTTCACAGCCTTTGAGGCACAGGGCACAGTGTAACAGAACCGCTCGCCCTGTTGGCATTGCCAACAACTTACCAGCCAATGTTGAATTCAACGTGAGCGTCAAAGAATCCGACCACAGGAGAGGTTGCTGCCTTCCAGCCTTGGATTCTGGCTCGAATCAGTCCTTCTCGTTTGTTATTGCGCACTATTTTCACCAGACCTGGGTATCGTTTATTGACATACTGGTCCAGATTAAATTTTAGCTCAACTGCAGGACAAAAAAACCCCACAAATATTCAGAATGAGAAAAGGCCTGCAATGTTGTCTTTTACTTTGATTCATTCTGCAACAGAAAGGGAAATAAATCTTTAAATATTCCTAAACTCTTAGTCAGTCTCACAGATACAAACCAAGCACCTCAGTTGTGGCGTGGATCAGTTCCAGGGGTATCAGCTCAAAGAAATTCTCCGCACATCAGAGCAGTTACTGTTAGACTTGCACGGATTTAATATGGCCTGATGGATCTGAGTATTGTTTTGAAGAGGTAGTCTGTCTAAATATTTTTAAATAATTACTGTTCTAATTCTCTGATGATTTGCATTAGGTTACAACTGGCCTCTGGAGGAGCAATTCTGACCTTACAGCAGTGTAACATGGGAGACTGGTGACTTTTTGTTCTGATTTATGCTATTCAGTAAGAGTTTGAAAAAATAACCTCAATGGATTTAGGGTCAAGACCTAATTCAGATCAGAATTAATTTCCCTTAATTTTAAGGATTTTCCCTTAAATATAATTAAGATTCCTCAATGCCAAGCTTCTTCCCCATTGAATATTCAATGAATATTGAAGATTTCAGACAGATGACTTCTCTTTTGTTCCTTTTCAGGCATTCAACCACAGATGGAGCAGAACTTATTCACTCCTTTATTCAGCTTCATTTCAATAGGCTTATAAACAGGCAAATTACCAAAATGGTCTCTGTATTTTTTTAAATCAATCTAGTTCGGTAATTCATTTACACTGCAACTTATTCATAATGAGGCTTTTACTCAAATATATCTATTAGGAAAACTAGTAGAAGCCTCATTCTTCTGATCTATATTACACAGTAGAATCATTATCATTGGAATCAAAGACCTGATAAATCTCCAGTTATCTAGAAGAATGACAGAGAAAAGCCATATAAGAGTTCACTGAGAAACAATGAGTCCAGTTCTCCTCTGTATTACATTTACTCAAACATTCTGCAATCTCACATAATTACTCCACAGGTTACACTGCCATAACTGAAAGCAGAATTGGACAAAAGGTTTCTTAAATCTGTAGGTTTTGGAACTTATTTTTGTTTTAGTGATTTGTTCTCTCAACCCTCCTTTCTCTTCAGGGATCCTGAAGAGGAACAGCAACTTAAAACTGAAAGAATTAAAGCTGTTGATCTGTGGAGAAAATGCTAAACTTAAGCTTTATTTTATCAAATATGATTTGAGAAGCTGCAACAGTTCTAGAAGTCTAAAGTGTAACAACTTAAAACACTAATAGTGGTGTTGTCACCTGTATCCTAAAAGTTCTTCAAGCCCGACTGTCCTCTGAAACATGTTGATCAATGGCACCCTATATGCTCACCAATATTTTGAGTTTTGATTGCTGCAACAGAAGTGTTATGCTTACACTAATGAACCAGCTGACCTGAAAGCTGCATGTGCTTTGTGGCTATTCTGTTTCATTCCCATAGTCTAATTTACTCCCTACCTAAAATAACTAACTAAATAAATAAAATCAGACTCAAAATCTGATATTTTCAACACCTAAATCATGAAGAAGCAGTGTGTGCTGCCATGTAAAAGAGTAGAAACTAGCTTTAAGGAGTATCTGTAAACCCACTTTTCCTCGGAAGCAGAATTTAAACTTTTAGTCAATTAAATACAATATTGCTCTGGAACTGGAAATTTGGAGAAAAGTGTCATTTCTATATTAAGATTGCCTATACAATTGTCATTCATCCTGTGAGGATTTCAGTGAAATCATCAGGGTTTATCCACATAATGTTTATTTATTATACACATAGTTAATATTTACTCACAGCTTTGTGCCAGTGGCTCAATCAACCCTCTCATCAACAAACACAAACTCTTGTAAATTCTACTGACTTCAATAGAGGTACACTAATTTATACCAACTTACGATCTAGCTTATTAGCCATAAATCAGTGGTTACATGTGTGACCTTCCTCTCCCAGCTGTTTAAATGCAGAATGACTCAATACGGTTTCATTCCAACATTTAAAAAAAAAACAAAAAACATTTCAGGTAGTAGTGACCAAACTCCCTTTGATTTACATGTCATGTCCATTAACCACACAGGATAAAATACTTAGAAGAAAAGTTACGTATGTTCACCATTGTCACTGTTGTCGTCCACCAGAATGATCTCCTTGAGCAAGTGCGATGGGGTGTGATTCACAACGCTGTGCACAGAGCGCAGGATGACAGAGAGCGCCTCGTTTACAAATATAAAGACCACAGAGATCTGGGGCAGGTCATCTGGGTAGGTCATCTGTTTGCACCTGGGGAGAAGAAAGAAAGAATTAAAACCCACTGGGAGGTAAAATACACTGAAGAGTGTCCTCTCCTCATTGCTCTCCAGCATACAGGGACTTGCAGGCTTTGTTCTTTCTAACCTCAAACAAAGATGTGGTAAAAAGCTCAAAAGAAGTAACATAGACAGGAGCAGCAAACTTTCCATCAACTCAGTGAAAATCAAAGCGTACCTGCATGCACACAGACTTGTAGTGGCTCTCATCCTCTAGAAAGTTAAAAGCATCTCTTGAAAACCAAAGAAATATCAATGACTTTGCTCAAAAACAACCTGGAGAAGGCCCACAATACAATAGTCTGCCTGTGCTCCCAGGGGAACCATCAGGAGGTCTGCTGTTAACTCATAATTAGACCTCAGGACCCACTCAAGCAAATTTTGTGTTTACCCATACAAAGAGCATGTGCCATCCTTTCTGATTTTGCAGTTTGTGCAGGAACAAGAAATGCATGACGTTTGTTGTACAGGCATGCGCTTGATGAAATATTTGCCAAACAGATCTGCTCCATCTGAGACATCACGTTGGTAGGCAGCTACATCCTGAGATTCACAATTTCCTTTTGTGCTTGCTCACTGATGCATATATTTTACCATAGACCATTTTGAGAAGAAAGCACAAGGCCTGGAGAAGTCATGCAGCACAGAGCAGAGCCTCTGCTTCCCAAGCCCCCAGCCCATGCCCCTCTGTGACACCATACTGCCTTATTTTAGTGGAATTCTCTCCCACTACAAAGATGCTAACTTTAAAAAATTACCTACATGTTCTTACAGTCAAAAGCCATTCAGAATTACCATAGCAATTACTGAACCTGCTCTCTAAAATACTGCTAATGATATCACAGGAAATGACTTTTCCTGCTCTTATCAAACTTTCTGACCTCTTTCCTCATTACTTTAGCATAACAATCACTTTTTTCCCCCACTATCAGCAGTCACGGGGATGGGGAGGGCGACAAACACTTGACTGTTGGGTAACCTCTGGAAATCAGTTATGAATTCTAGTAAAGTGCAATTATTCGTAATTCCTACTCATCCCAGCACTATTTGCTGAGAACCCTGAGTACTTGTCATTGATTACAGTGTTACCATAGCTACTTACTAGCAGCTTGCTGGTGGCCTGTGCCATACAGAGGACTACTGTGTAAAACTTCTGGCCAAGCAGCATTCTTACACAATCTAAAAATAAACCTGGAACGAGGACAGAGATCTACAGGAGGTGTGAATGCTCTGACACAGCCTCCTTTTTCAATTTCTCTTTGAACGTGATTTTCCTCTTGACCACACCAATATATCAAAGAAGTCCATCAGGAATACTTCACTAACAGGACAGAGCCATCAGCTAAAAACATGGACCTTGCAAGATTTCCCTTGATGAGGGACATCTTTGATCTGACAGTGATTTGCTTCAGAGGCTCACTTGTATCAGCAGGACATAGCAAACTGCACCTCAGTAAATCGGACAGGTAGCCAAGGAGTGGGTGCATCGCTGGTGGAGGCGAGGCAGAGGAGGGAGCCCACCCTAGGCCGTGCATCCTGGTGGGGTCCTGCATCAGCACTCAGAGCTTGCAGGAAAGAAGCTAAGAAGCCATGTAGCCAAAGTCTGGAGACAGCAAGGAGGCTGTAGCAGAGGAGGAGAAGGAGGAGGAGGAATTGCAGTGAGAATGAGAAGGCAGTCAAAGCTGCATTTGCAACGTAAAGGCACGAGCAATCAAAGGAAAGGTAGAGTGAACACAAATGTCGGAAGCAGAAGCATGCATGGAAGGACCAAAGTATTTTGCCTAGGAAAAGACAGGGAACCACTGAAGCAGCTGGGCACCCAGCCATGTGTCCCAGTCCAGACTGAAAGGCTGAGTAAGACTGAACCCACCGCTTTTCCTCCATCCTCCCACTTACATTCTGAGAAAATCAGTACTTCTAATTTGAGTTTTCAAACCAGCACACCTAAACTATAACCTCCACTTTTGACTTATTTGTTCTTCATCATATTAAATCACTGTATTATTATCCTAAGTGTGACTCCATGATCTCACTGGTTCACAAGAGTTTGCCTGCCGTGATTCCCAAGGATTACGTACGTTATGGGGCATCAAGGACTGCTTTAGATAAAAGGCTGTTTTGAATTCGTTATCCCACCTGGGTTAAGTCATTCAGTTCTCCCCTTTCTCTGTTAACAGGATATAGTTATGCATTATGTCTGCATTTGCAAAGAGCGCTCCAAGCATTACATATTAGAATATCTTGGGTAATCCCGCTGCAACAGGAACATCTAGATGGGCAAAGGCAAGCCTCAGAATTTAGCAGTGGTTTAAAAGCTGTCATAGTTTATTTATTACAGCAAGGATGAAGAGCAGCAAAAGAAGCTGTCCAGCTGAGTAGACTTTTCAAAGTACAGCAGTGATTTAGGAGTTTATTTCCTGCAGGCTTCCAGTCAACCTTGAACTCCCAACTCCTTAAGTCACTTCGGAAAATGAGATGGGTGTGCTGAGGTAGTTAGGAGAAAAATACCAGTCCACTAACAAACACTTCTGATGATATCTGAGAGCACGAGCAATCCCAGTCAAGGGGCCTTTCCTTAAAAATCAGTGGGTGCTTAAGTGCTTTGTTGGATTATCGCCCAAGCGCTTCCCAATGTATTCTGTAATTAGATACCAGCTGCAGCAATTTACAGTTAATACTTCCTTCATTCCAAGAAACTCTAACCAGCAGTTGACACTCTGAGCCAAATAGTGACATTAGCAAGTCACACGCAAGGATGCTCTACCATCAAAGCACAACCATGCCCACTGTCACCTCACAACGCCTTTGCAGCTTTGCTGTTGGCAGGAACGCTGGCAGCAGACGGAGAGCACTGCAATGGAACAGTCAGTTGCTTGTGCCTGCATGCAAGGTTGAGAAGGTCAGAGTGTCAGGAGGGCACGTGAAAGTCCTCCTTGGTGCAGCCCTTGATTTTTGGCCCTGGAGCATGGCAGCAGGAGAGAGTTCAGTCCAGAGGAGTCCCAGGAAAAGTAAGGCTATAACAAACCTATTGACTTTCAATAAGGCATAGGGCAGCCTCTCAGAAAATGGTTCCAAAGTCTGGAAACAGAGGGAAAGTATCAGGCAAGAAACCTATGAGCAAACGATGGAGGAGCTTAACATTAGACTGGTCGCTTTTATTATTTCTTTTGAGACGAAAAGCAACCAGAAGGTGAAGACATCACACTGTACGTCCTAGCAAAGCACACCTTTATATGATTCAAACTGACCATCAAAAGGACTTTGGTAAGAAATTAAGAAATCATCCATTTCTGGCAGCCCTGTGCAGTAAAGTGCCTGGGTGTTTAAGGCAGCCCCTTCTCGGGGAGCAGAGGCTTGGCTGCCTGCTTGGGGAGCCCCCAGCACCAGCGCTACACCCATACTCTGCCAGGAAAGGGAGCTGGGTACCACCATGCTCTCCACTTCTCTGCACTAGGTCTGATCACATTATGAACTGTGGCAACCAGGTGAGGGAGGACAATTACAGTAATTGATAGCTGAATCTTGGCCTCATTAACATCTGTCTAACACTACTGAGTTCAGGAAGAATTTAGAGCATACATTTGACCTCTGTGGTAGCTAACGATGGTCTAAGCTGGCCAAGGATAGCTCACATTTAGTATTACTGTGATTCTAAATTAGTATTATGAACTGTCATCAGGTCTCACAGTGTACAACCAGCAAAGGACTTCAGGTCTGCATGAGAAGCAGTGCCTCTTTCCAGGGCAGGTAGGTATGCTGTAGAGAAACACACCGCTGGATGCATTCGGGACTAGGGATTCCAAGCAAAGGCTGACGATGCCATGGCTAATCATTTCCATGGACTGGCTGAGGGTGGATTAGACCTGGTATATGAAACAGCCCTTCAGGCATCTTTCGTACAACATGCCAAGCATCAAACCTGAGGCATTCTGCTGTTGTCTTGGGAAGAGTCTTTGAGTGTTCTTGCTCTGTGTTGGCTACTGCAGAGCTTGGCTGGGAACCCAGAGGTATTTCCTTTGTACTTGACAGAGAGCTGGATGTCAGATCATTTTTCTCTGCTTCGGAGATGATTTTCACTCATTCTTTCCCTTGCATTGAACCAGTTCCTTGAATGACCATTTCCCAGCCAGCCCCCCGAGCCCAACTGTGAGCACTGTCTATGCAGGCATAAGAAAACAGGAAAGGCTCTTCAGTGGGCAGACCAGAACCTTGAAAAAAATCAAGTACTAACACGAAAAAAGTCATAAATTAGAAACTGGGACAATGAGAAAACAAAAGCTTTTCAGCTGCACATGAGCCTGCTGGTAGATAATAAAGGGAAGGAAATTTTCTTTTGTCTGAACCTTCGTTCCTCGATACCTATATTTACTCTAGTTGTATCTGATCCAACAGAAAGATGTGAAGTCCTCTATCAGAACTGGTCTTACAGTCCATTTGATTTGCACTCTTTTTTTGTGAAGGACTGACACTACAGTCATGTAGGTAGTTCACTGCATTGCCAAGGAAAGAAAAATCTTTTCTGCTCTCTTTCTCCTGCCTTCTCTCCTGTCTGTATATTTGCTAAACTCCAAAAATGAGTTTTTCTTGCAGACCTTAATATACTGAGTTTGAAAATGGATTAGGCAATGCATTTAGAGATTTCTGACAGCTTTACCCTTCAGGAAGAAATGCAAACAAAATTAAAGCCGCTTCATGAATCTTTAAAGTATTTAATACAAGATATGTTTTTCCAATGAACCACTGGGATGGAGATGACTGTGGGTGTCTCTCCTTCACAAACTTGATGAAATTGCTGGGCATGAAGAAATCTCTGCAGTTCTAGCACAGAGTAACCTCAACATGCTTGGTAGCTTGAAAGCTGCAGAATGGTCTGTTTGTGTTTTACAGCCACAGCAGAGGAAAGGGGCGGAACAGCTCTTCGTTGGCTACATGATCAATGTAATGACAAAGATAAATTTTAAAAATATTATTGAA